TTTTTGAGAATTACGGGCAACGGATTGAAAGATATTTTGAATTCCTGGGATCATGCAAACATAGTCTTTACTCAGTCAAGTAGTTTTGAATTTATACATCAAATATCGATCCCATGTAACAATATTCAAATAAATTCACCTACACCTCAAAACACCGAATCCCCGCAGGCCACAGAGTGTGGACGTCCACGGTTCAAACATTCGGAAGAGGAGGGATAAATTTCATTAGCTTAACATACTGCCGAGCAATACTTAACTAATAGTCGGTTTCATCTTTTGGACAGCGCAATTAACTTTATAAAAGATTAAAAACGACCTTATCCTTTGGGACTATCGTAATTATTTGCACTTTAAGTGGAACCCATTAATTGGTACTAAGTTTACTACCAAAATTATACGTCCACCTTTGGGTGACACGTACGCTTTTGAAATAGCTCACTATAACAATCCCAAAGGAGATTCGTCCTTGTGAATTGTGAAATAAAACTTCTTTTAGGCTCGAATTAAATCACTTCACTGACAAACCTATAATGCAGGCCTTGGATGTAATTTATTTCAACCCATTACACACTTAATATAATTTTTATTTTATGGGATTTTCTAAAACATGTTTGTAATTGCACATGAGCAATCACATAAAACATGCATGATTAATGATCAGTAATAAACTAGGACCTATAATCCAACTATCATGGCCATTGATAAATCTCCAATGTTACGGAGAAAACACAGTCCTGTCCTTGTTGAGTGTATCCTCCATTTCAAGTATTGGAACTCCCCTTTCGCATTGACTCCCACTGAATTGGTTGTCTCCGAAAAAGTCGCCACTGGATCATTACCATGGCATCCGTGTACGTGTTTATCGCCTTGCCCCGTCAAGGTTGGTCCACACTCGCCGGATCAATAACGAATAATATAAATAACAATTACATAATTCATCCTATGACCCACGCAGGAGCCGTACATGAGTTTCTATGAAAGCAATAAACTATGCAGTGTCCCACCACGCGAATAATTTATTACAAGCATTCACCAACCCAAAAATTCCTTGACATGTCCAAGGCTTTAAAAACAACATACATTCAACATGAATTAAAATCCGTACATACGGTCCACAATAGTCGGATTCGAAACACCTGCAAAAACTTATTGCAATTTCTAATCTACTATGCTGCTGCGTCCGTACGCACATAATTCATGTAGACAGGCAAAGTCCAAAATTCAAACTGTGCACGAGTTTGCATTAAGCCTGGGCTCTTATACCAGTTGTTGGGTTCTGTTAAGAACGTCAAACAACATGCACAGTATTGAACTTATCGAAATAAATCCTAACGCAACGGAATCTATAGTTAGAATATGGATGCTTAACTTTTAAAATTTTTGCCGACTCTGAGACGATGTAGAGTACCGTTGATGAAGTTAGTCTGAACACCACAACCTAATGGGCGGATAGGTTTGGCCTTTAGTCGATTCTAGTCGACACGTCAAATGGACCTCGGTCAAACAGCATGCGGGTCTCGGCGGTTGGGGTACCGGGCAGCTCGTGCACGTCGAGTGCGGACAGCGTGCGGGTACGCGGGTCGCAGGCAACGTGCGCGGACTGCTGGGGTGACGCGCGGAGTGCTGGGCTACGCGGACGGATGCTGGCAGCGAGCGTGTGTGCGCGTCGGGTGGTGAGCGGGACGCGCGGGATGCAGGCGAACGCGGACAAACGCTGGGAAGACGCGCGCTTGCAGAGGCAGCACTTCTAGGCCTGGGCGGACTGTGTGCTGGCGTCTGGGACCACGCGGGCGTGCACTGCAAGTCTCCTGGGTGTGCGAGGACTATTGCGCGCGTTGCACTAGTGCGCTGGGACAACAGCGAAGCAGGACGATGCACGTACAAGCGTCGGGCCTTCGTGCGGTGGTCCTGGGCGTCGCTGCTGGGAGCTGGGACGGCGACTGGCTGGGCGCGACTGCGGGCGGTGCCTTGCTGTTGCGATCGGCTAGTCATAGACGGCATCTGGTGGTGATGGCGTTTTTCCGGCGGTTGTCGATGGCGACTATGTGATGATGATGATGACCCGAAAATATGGAATTAGAGGCTCAATATATTGTACCAAAAAGCCTTCTAATGGATTACCTAAACACCTACTTCGATCAAATATGGTGGAGCGTTTAATCGAATCTCCCTACACTCGAACAAAGATATTTTTCGCGCGTATGTAGAGAGAAAATTCGGCCAAACCATCTATGTAGGAGAGGTTGGGACATGGTGTATTTATAGGCTCCATTAGGGACCTTAAGGAGGTGCTAAATATGGGTTTATTCCATTAGACCTAGGAATCCTAATTCTAATCCAATACTAACTCAATGTAGGAAGGAAATCTCCTACTAATCCATCTCTTCTAGAAGACTCCTTAGTCTTCTAACACTAGAGAGGATCCTAGTAGGAATACCTTTCCTAATTAATTAATAATCATGGAATAGAATTAATTCCTAATTTAGGAAACCTAATTTTACTCCAACTAATAATATAATGTAGGAAATATATTTTCTACTAATCTCCATCTTCTAGAAGACTCCCAAGTCTCCTAATCCCAAGAGAAGATACTAGTAGGAACTTTATTCTCTTAATTAATTAATTAATATGGAATAAAATTAACTCCTGTTTAATGGAATTAAATAATAAAACATCCCACTAGAGTAATATTATTGATCTCCCCATTTAGCCACTATTTTACCAATAAAATTGAGCCTCTATGATTAAATAATATTAATCCGATTGATCGATTTACCTCCCTATGTTTAAGATATAATGTCCGTTGATTAATTAAATTACTGACAAAGTAATTACTCAACTTCTTATTCATTTTCGAAATTAGTACCACTCAGATCCTTAACCATTATGTCAGACAATCGTCTACCTGCAGGGTTTAACATAACGTAGATTCCTGAGCTCATTTCGGGGACGTCATCAATCCAGCGCACTGGAACATAGTGACCATAAATAATTTATAATAGCACATTATATAATTATTCTTACTTACCAAAATACCTCGTATGTCATCCTAATAAAATAGGAATCACTTGGTAAATCAAATAAATAAGAAATAAAAATATGTGCCTATTTTATATTATCTTACGGCTTAAGAGAACGCATCAATCACTGACGGACAAGGTTACAACTATGGTCAGTGAGTCTCATAACCTTTGCCTTCTGCGGTCCTGTTCAACACTTAACATAAGTGCTAGTGTAATTCTTCAGTCAAAGACCAACTGAATTAAGAATACACTACAGTCTTTTTCCAAGTGGGGTCTCACTGCCATTCTAGACTGTGAACAAATGATTTAGTCTTATAAGGAACCGATAGGTGATCTTTCTGTTCGAAACGCTTCGAACCACACTACCTCAATATAAGACATGGAGTATGTATTGCATAAATAAATAAACTGCAATCATATGTACTTTGACCGAAACATGATGGCCAGATCAAAATGAAATTGATAGAATCTGCAAAACATAGCTTTTACTGCATACCTCTAACAACAAGAGCTACAACGCCGGGGCATCAAAACCGTCGACGACGCTAGTTCCGCCGCGGAGTCCCACATTGAGTTTCGCCCATCAACATTTTCCGATGCCACCAAAAAGGACAAGAAGTACCCCACTAAAGATGGGGGAGACAAAAAGGACAACAAGGTCCGAGACTCCTGAGACCACCGACGTGCAACTGACAAGGAGGATCGCAATGCCGGACGTCGGAACTACGAGGAGAAGAAGCAAGCATTCGTCCGGAAAGGGGGCTGCTTTGTGTGCAAGGGTCCACATGCTATGAAGGACTGCCCGAAGCTAGGTTCCCTATCCGCAATTGTGGAACAACACGAGTCCAAAAAGAAGGAAGAAGAACCAACGGTGATGGGGTCACTGCAGGTCCTAAATGCCCTCAAAGCCAGACCCGAATGCACCACTACTAGCAAGGGTCTTATGTACATGGAGGCACAAGTTAACGGGAAGACGATGAAGGCCCTGGTGGACACAGGAGCCAGTCATAATTTAATCACCAAGGAGGAGGCCACAAGGTTGGGTCTATCTTGGACCGAAAAACCTGGATGGTTAAAGACGGTTAATGCTAATGCTCGTCGACTAGAGGGAGCCGCGAGCAATGTGGAGTTACGCTTGGGGACATGGCAGGGATGCGTGAATTTTTCAATCGCACCTATGAACGACTTCAAAGTGGTACTCGGCATGAACTTCTTGCGACAGGTAACAGCGATCCCTATGCCTTTCTTTAGTACCGTTTGCATCTTAGAAAAGGGTTCCTCGTACATGGTGCCAATAATAGAAGGAGACAGCGGGAGTCCCAGCCAACAACTCTCCGCAATGCAACTTGCCAAGGGGGCAAAACGAGCTGAACCCACATACGTAGCTGTGCTAAAAGAAGACAACTCTGAGGTGAATTTCCCAAAGGTACCCGACATCATTCGAGGAGTCCTTGAGGAGAACAAAGATGTTATGCTAGCAGAGCTGCCGAGCAAGCTACCACCCAGGCAAGGAGTGGATCACAAGATTGAACTAGAACCAGGCACCAAGCCGTCTGCCATGGCCCCATACCGTATGTTACCACCCGAGCTTGAGGAATTAAGAAGGCAACTTAAGAAGCTCGTGGAGACAGAGAAGATCCGAACGAGCAAGGCACCATATGGCGCACCCGTACTTTTTCAAAAGGAACATGACGGGACACTACGCATGTGCGTAAGCTATCGGGCGCTCAACAAGGTAACAATTAAAAATCGCTATCCCATCCCTTTGATTTCTGATTTATTCGATCGACTTGGAAGAGCCAGAGTGTATACCAAGATGGATTTATAAAAGGGTTACTACCAAGTCCGCATCGCCGAAGGGATGAACCCAAGACCACGTGCATCAGGAGGTATGGGTCATACGAATGATTAGTGATGCCCTTTGGGCTCACTAACGCCCCAGATACATTTTGCACGCTCATGAACGAGATCTTTCATCCATACTTGGATCGGTTGGTAGTGGTTTACTTGGATGACATCGTTGTCTATAGCAACATGCTTGAGGAGCACGCTGACCACCTACGTACTGTATTCGAGGTACTTCGGGACAATAAGCTTTACGTAAAGGAACCCAAATGCATTTTCGCCCAAGAAGAAGTAAACTTCTTGGGACATATCATTGGCCATGGACGGATCAGAATGGACGGGGCAAAGGTAAAGGCGATCATGGAGTGGGAAGCGCCAACAAATGTAACCGAATTACGATCCTTCTTAGGGCTGGTAAACTATTATAGCCGATTCATACAGGGCTATTCGGCAAGGGCAGCACCTCTCAATGACCTGCTTAAGAAGGGTAAGTCGTGGGTATGGTCCGATGAGTGCCAACGAGCCTTTGATGACCTCAAGGTCGCGGTGAGCTAGGAGCCTGTCTTAGCATTACTTGACTTCACCAAACCGTTCGAGGTTCACACAGATGCCTCTGACTTTGCTATTGGGGGAGTACTAATGCAAGAGCGACACCCTATAGCGTTCGAGAGCTGGAAGCTGAATGGTACCGAGCGACGCTACATGGTGCAAGACAAGGAGATGACAGCCATCATCCACTGCTTGAGGGTATGGCGTCACTATTTGCTAGGGGTACATTTCAGCATCAAGACGGACAACGTGGCCACTAGCTATTTCCAAACCCAAAAGAAGCTTTCCCCAAAGCAAGCCCGATGGCAAGATTTTTTAGCAGAGTTCGACTACTCGTTGGAATACAAGCTGGGCAAAGAAAACGTAGTGGCGGATGCATTAAGCCGAAAGGCTGAACTTGCAGCCATCAGCAAAGCTAATGGGTACGTGCTCTCTCGTATCCGAGAAGGGCTCGAACGGGACCCCGTAACCAAGGCCCTAATAGGCCTTCCTAAGGAAGGGAAAACCCAACGTTTTTAGGTAGAGGACGGTCTTCTCTACACAAAAGGGAGACGTTTGTACGTGCCAAAGTGGGACGGCATAAGGCGAGACCTCATGAAGGAATGCCATGACACTAAGTGGGAAGGACACCCAGGCCAACGGAGGACAGTCGCGTTGCTCGAGAACAACTATTTTTTGCCCCAGCTCAAGGACGATGTGGAGACATATGTCAGAACTTGTCTGGTTTGCCAACAGGATAAGATCGAGAACAGGCACCCGGCAGGACTGTTAGAACCACTATCGATACCCGCAGGACCGTAGGACTCTATCACATTAGACTTCATTAGCTCGTTGCCACAGTCCAAGGGATATGGATCAATCATTGTCGTCGTAGACCGATTCTCGAAGTATGGGACATTCATTTCGTGCTCCAAAGATTGTACTGCCGAAGAAGCTGCCCGTGGATTTTTCAAGAATGTAGTTAAGCATTGCGGGCTACAAAGGAGCATCATCAGTGACCGGGACCCGAGGTTCACAGGGCGACTTTGGACTGAACTTTTCAAACTCCTGGGGACCGAGCTCAATTTCTCAACAAGCTTTCACTCCCAAATAGACAGGCATACTGAGAGGGTCAATGCACTTCTCAAATGCTATTTGAGGCACTTCGTAAGTGCAAATCAACGGGACTGGGCCAAATTACTCGATGTGGCCAAATTTTTATATAATTTGCAGAGGAGTGAATCGACTGGGCAAAGCCCATTTTAAGTGGTCACGGGGCGACAACCACTAACACCGCACACAATCTCCATACCTACCAAGGAAGGTAGGAGTGCCGGGGCCAAAAAGATGGTCAAGACTTGGGAAGAACAAGCCGACTTAGCGCGATCATACTTGGAAAGGGCCTGCAGAAGAATGAAGAAGTGGGCCGACAAAAAGAGAAGACCAAGAGAGTTCTCCCAAGGAGACTTAGTCCTTGTGAAGTTGTTGCCCGAATAGTTCAAAACCTTTCGAAGCTTGCACAAGGGACTGATACGAAAATACGAGAGACCTACCCAGTGATCAAGAAAATTGGTAACATAGCATATCGGGTCGACTTATCTCCATCCCTTAAAATCCATCCCGTCTTCCACATAAGTATGTTAAAGCCTTATAAAGAGGACGTGGAAGACCCAAGCCGAGGGTTATCATCAAGGGCACCGCCGATCACCACCAAGTCGTTCGACAAGGAAGTGAAAGCAGTGCTCACATCCGACATAGTCAGGCGATGAGGGGTACCACCGAAAACACGATACTTACTCAAGTGGAAGGGCCTCTCCGATTTAAAAACCTCTTGGGAGTTCGAGGAAGACTTATGGAAATTCAAGGATACCATCGAACGATACAAGGCTACAGGGACACCGCCACAACAAGTGGGGGAAAATGTAACACCCCGCACTACCTGACCCGCGCAGACTCGGGCCAACCCACGCGCACGCCGGCACAGAGCACACACGCATGGAGAACGCGCACGTACCCAGCAAGCGCGCGCACGGGGTTGTCTGACCTTTTGAAGACTTAGGCTACAACACACCTAAGTATTGTACATAGATTCCTTAGTAGAGGCTTACTTTTTTCTAAGAGCTTCTAGAAGGCCCTAAAGTTGTATAGATACATGTATTAGGGACTTGATGAGCTTAGAGCCTTGTAGAGTTGTGTAGAAGGATCTAGGACTTGTGTGTATGAAGTAAGATTTTTAGGAAGGGTCTAGAACTCTCAAGACCCTTGTAGGACCTAAAAGGTTCCTTAGAGGAGGTGGTGCCTATAAATAGGAGAGGCCCCCTCATTTGCAAATCATCCAAGCAACAACCAAGCTCTCTTGTACAACGTTTGTGTGCATAATAGTACAAGCTTTCCTTACAATCTTACTTACATATCTTTGCCATATTCTCTAGCCAAGTACTAGAACACACCGAGCACGATCCGAGCACGAGCGAGCCTAACTTAGCTAGCTGCGAAGGGCGCACGAGGGGCTAAGGCCGCACGCTACCGAGGTTTGAAGAAACAAGGGCGTGACAATGTGGTAGCCTTATTTTAATGGACCATTTGTCTCCTAGTGCATTGGGACTTGACCAGCCATATTCCCTACCAATATTCCTTCCAAATGCAGCTAAAAACCTCTGCCAAGACCAGCCAAGTCGTGCCCCAAGGCCCCCCAAAGTCCCATATGCTTTGGAAAGGGAATTTGTCCCCATTTGCTTACATAGGTTTCTCTGCCCATGACCTCCTCATATGCCTCACTTCCTCAGCTGAAAATAGGTCTTGTACACTTAGTATTTTTCGAGTTTATAGAGAGAAATAGGAGAGATAGCCGAGAGATAAGAGTATAGCCTTGCTAGTGCAAAGAGAAGCAAGCACCGAGCTATCTCTTGTTCTAACCATGTTTTGCTGCACCAAGCCAAGTTTATATCATCTTTGGGATTATAAGGAGTTTAGAGAAGCCATCATCCCCAACCAAAGCCACCGAGTCAAGCCACCGCCTATAGCTACCCGAGGAGACCCGAGTTAAGGGCTTGAGTCTCATTTTCAACTTTGGTGAAGGTTAGCTCATGTTATCTTTTTATCCTAGCTATAACATGATATTTTAAGATTTATCATGTAGAGAAATCAAGTTTTGCTCGGGTAGAATGAGAAAATCGAATTTTTGAAGCTTAAGCCTTAAAATCGGATTTTTCGTTGCATGCATGTTTAGGCCGATATCTTGAGCTTAAAAATCCTTATAAATTATACGTAATATGAGGTTAAAACAGGTTCTAAAAATAACTAAGGGTGCTCGGTCATCTAGAGCTCGATTGTTTTGAGGAAATAATGTTGGTGTTATATACTTAAGCTTTGCTTTAGTGGATATTACACTTGTTATTCCTTGATGAATGAGAATTATGTTTGGTTAAATAAGTTCCACGTTCTGTTGTTTTGAATGTAGATAAGTGTGTAACGCCCCAAAACAGTAATAATATTCAAACGGTTTCACTGCTCGACTACGA